GGCTACAGTCCATGGGGTTTAAGAGTCACACGACTAAGCACATACACACACACTTAAAGTGTAACATGCATGTGTAACATGCAGTTGCCGTGCGCCCATCTGCCTCATCCGTACCCCCCGCCACCCTGTCTGTGGTCCCGCCTGGACATCCTTTCATCTCCTTGGTGAGCCAGGCTTCCTCCACCATGGGGCTTGTGCACAGTTTTTCCCTCTCTTGGAACATTCTTTTCTGCCACCTTTACCCAGCTTTCCTTGGTTTCTCTGACTAGATCATTATTCCCGGTGGAGCACTGTGTATCTACTTTCTTCCTTTGTCATAGTAGCTATTTAACTTAAAAAAAATTTTTTTCTTTTTATTATTTGGTCATCTCTCTATTCTACTAGACGGTAAGCTTTCACAAGGGCAGGAAGTTTCTGCTTTAGCCTATTGTTTTAGTCCTAGCCAATAATATTAATATATAGGATGACCAACAGGAGATTAAGAAATATTTGTTGAAGGAATAAGATGTAGAAGGTAAAAGAAATAAAAAGCAAGCAAAAAAGAAAAACACTCAAAACAGCCTTCAATTTTCCAACCGTTTTTCAAAGATTCAGTTCAGTCCCTCAGTCATGTCCGTCTCTTAGGGACCCTATGACCAGGTTTCCCTGCCCATCAACAACTCCTAGAGCTTGCTCAAACTCATGTCCATTGAGTCGGTGATGCCATCCAACCATCTCCTCCTCTGTCGTCCTCTTCTCCTTCCACCCTCAATCTTTCCCAGTATCAGGGTCTTTTCCAATGAGTCAGCTTTTCGCATCATGTGGCCAAAGTATAGGAGCTTCAGTCTCAGCATCAGTCCCTNGGTGTCATCTGCATATCTGAAGCTATTGATATTTCTCCCAGCAATCTTGATTCCAGTTTGTGGTTCCTCCATTCTGGCATTTTACATGATATACTCTGTATATAAGTTAAATGAGCAGGGTGACAACATACAACCTTGACGTATACACCCTTTCTCAATTTGGAACTAGTCTGTTGTTCCATGTCTGGTTCTAACTGTTGCTTCTTGAGCTGCATACAGATTTCTCAGGAGGCAAGCAAGGTGATCTGGTATTCCCATCTCTTTAAGAATTTTCCACAGTTTGTTGTGATCCGCACAGTCAGAGGCTTTAGCGTAGTCAATGAAGCAGAAGTAGATGTTTTTCTGGAATTCTCTTGCTTTTTCTATGATTCAACAGATGTTGACAACTTGATCTCTTATTCCTCTGCCTTTCTAAATCCACCTTGAATATCTGGAAGTTCTTGGTTCACATCCGGTATAAAATTCAGTTGTTTTAATTTCAAAGTTTCTCTTCAGTACTAGGCTACTCATGAACAGTATTATCAATAACACTAAAATCCTTTTTACAAGTAGGTATATAAGTTTTTCAGTAGCTAAAATATAATTAATGTTAGTAGGATGCTTAGGATAGCTCACAGAGGCCTGTTGACTCTAGAAACTACTGTCTCTAAAACCGTAGTTTAAATTTTTTAAATTATTTTTTCGATTATACTATAAGTTTCATGTGTATGATTTTGACTTCTGTATACACTACAGTGTCCTCACTGCCAAAGTTTAGGTTTCATTTGTCATCATGCTACTGATCCCCTTTACCCATTTGCCCTCCCATTAACTCTTCCCTGCTGGTAGCCACTACTCTGTTCTCTGTATCTATGTGTTTGTTTAGTTATTTATATTTTGAATATCCATGAAATTGCAAAGTTTTTATCTTTTTCCATTAGATTTGTTTCACTTGGCATAATATCCTCAAGTTCCATCCATGTGTTACAAATGGCAAGATTTCACCTTTTTTAATGACTAAGTTGTTTTCCATTGTGTGGAAAACACATCTTTAATCTGTCAGCGGTCACTTAGGTTGCTTCCATGTTGTGGCTATTGTAATAATGCTGTGTGAACATAGGGGTGGATATTTTATTTTTTTGATTAGTGTTTTCACATTCTTTGGATGAATACCTGGAAGTGAAGTAGCTATGTTATAAGGTAGATGCCATATACCTACTTGAAACAACCCAATTAAAAAATGAGCAAAGGAACTGAATAGACATTTTTCCAAAGAAGAAATTAAGATAGACACATGAAAAATGTTCAACATCACTAAGTATTAGAGAAATGCAAATCAGAACCACAATGAGATATCACTTCATGCCTGTTAGATTGGATATTATGAAAATGTCTAGAAATAACAACTGTTGGAGAGAATGTAGAGAAGGGGGGACCCTCACACACCATTGTTTGGAATGTAAATTGTTGCAGCCACTGTGGAAATTTTTTTGAGATGCTTCAAAAAATTAATAACAAAACTAAAACAGTAGTTTCAAACCTTGAAATATACCAAGGCCCTGTGGCCCTTGAGAGAGACTTAGGGATATGGAAGGAAAAAGGACTCCAATTACTAGCAACTCTCAGAATTTTGTATAAGATGCTCTGACAGGTGTGTGGTCTGCCATTCTAATAGTGAGCGTGGGACTGGGAAGATGGGAATGGAAGGGAGCCTTGGGGACCATTTAGGGGAACAAGAGTCTCATAAGCCAGCTGTTAGGACTGGCTAGCATAAGTCCCTTTTCCTTTCTTCTGTGTATGTTCCTTTTGAAAGTGTATGCATTTAAGTAGAAGATACAGCTTACTCCACTGGAAGATGTTTTTGCATCTAGACTATGGAAGTAGCTGTAGAATTTCTGCATAAACATTCCACCCTAAGAGGAAGAAGAAGAGATCCAAAGGTAGAAAGATTGGAATGAGCAGGGAAGTGAAGTCAGCTTATGGAGATGATGTTAGACACTGCTGGAGAGAAGGGTGAAAGGCACTCGAGGAATGACAAGAGAGAAAAAACACAGGCTGATTGACTAAGGATGAGGGACGTGAACTTTGTGCTAGTTCAATGACCAGATTTTCTGACAAATATTCCCAGAGCCCATAGCTCAGTAGAAGAGCCAGTTACATTAGGTAGACTTTGCTAGAAAATATGTTTTATTTTAGGAAAGATAATCTGGTTGCAAAGTTAAGGAAAACCTGAAATCCTGAGGTTATCAAATTATATAAGCAATTACATGGCAATGAGTTGTTTTCATGAAAGGAGGTAGAGTACACAGTGCTCTGAGAAAAGCTTTTTCAATGAAAATTCCAACAAAGAGGATTTCCTGAATTTAAGTCCCAGCATACTTTCCAAGGTGGCTCAGTGGTGAAGAATCTACCTGCCAATACAGGAGATGCAGGAGACACAGGTTCGATCCCTGGGTCAAGAAATGGAAATGGCAACTCAGTCCAGTATTCTTGCCTGGGAAATCCCATGGACAAAAGAGCCTGACGGTCTACAGTCCATGGGGTCACAGAGTCAGACATGCCTTAGCAACTAAACAGCAAAAAAAAGAAAAAAACTTCCCAAAGAGTTTTACAGACACCATCCGTGCCATGTGAACCACAGGAATTCTGATGAGAACACTTTTTTGTTTTTCAAGAATTCCTTGCCCCCTTTTCTTTCACTTGGGAGGTAGCCTCTTATTCATGTCTGTTGGATGTAACCAGTGAACCAAACACTTGAAACCAATTTGCTAGCTTGTGAAGAGGTTATTGATTCTCACAGTGTGTATATACTTGGGGAACTTCATTGTTTAACTTTACATGTGGATGATTCTAGCCTTATGCTACTTCAAGTCAGACAGACTGGGTAAAAAATGTAGATTCTCTTTCTTCAGTGGAGTTTTCAGGGGTGTTGAAAAATGTTTAACAGATATGAGTACTGCCTTGAGTTTAAAATACTGTATATGCTTCTCAGAAAATGTCTGATTAGGTGAGAGAGTTTTTTTGTAAACATGTGCTTTTATTTCTGGGAGAGTTGGGAGGACGTTGGGAGAGAAATTGCCTGTGTGTTTTTGCCCAGTGCCAAGAAGAGAGAGAAGTGATTGATAACACACCAAATTAAATAAATGTATTTCAGGATCTTGTTTAAGAGATCATTGCTTGAGCTGTTGGCAATTTACTGCTTTCAGAATTGCAAAACCCAATCAATGTTTTATTCATATTGTATAGCATTATTGGTCATTTGTATTAAATTTGGTTTTGTTTTTTTTTTTTTTTGGTCATATGGGATGTGAAATCTTAGTTCCCTGACCAGTGATTGCTTCAAACCTGCACCCCATGTAGAGGAAGCGTGGAGTTTTAACCACTAGACCACCAGGAAAGTCCCTTAAATTTGTATTTTTGAAGTAAAAAGCTTCCTCCATTCCTGCTGGAAAGGAGGAACAGAAGGAGTATAGTATCAGCGCATACAGACTCCCTGGATGATCTTAGGCTTGTTTTTCACTAATTAAAGTTTGGTTGAATATCAATAGTTAATGTTCAGCTCTGAGTGGATGAGAAAACACAGCGTATTTGAGGTCAACGCCTCTTCTGGGTGTTGTTGAGGAATAGATGTAAGGTGGTGAAGCCACAAGCAGCTGAATGTTTCCCTTCAGATCCTGGAAGTGTGTGTCTTATCCTGCTGCAACCACTGGTCCCCTCCACTTTTTCCCTAGAAGGATTTTTATTGGTCCAGAGGAGGTTCATTCTAGCAGGGAGTCTGCCATTTTGAACCATGTGGAGCAGCCTTTGTAACAAGGAATGATTTATTGTTCCCAGCTGTCTTTCATAAGATGACCATTATGAGCAAGTCTGCTGATAAATCCATGGCCGTAAGGGAGGATTTTAATTTATGACAAGGAAAATCTCTTTCTGCTTCATGGGAAGAGGCACATCTGACCTTATCTGTGTGGGTTTATGGTGGGAGACAGGCCCTGTGGGTATTTATTGACTTGAACTGAGGGGTCTCTCTGGTATGTAGTTAAGCTTCAGAGGTAAAACCTGCTAGGTTCTTATTTAGGGTGAGCAGTTGGTGAAGGAAAGCACCAAGTTAATATTTTTCTCAGACATCTGGATTTTCAACTGATTTAACTGACAAGTTGTTTCTCTTTCAGGCCCCACGATTGATACAGAGGACTGTCATATGAACCAGAGAGGGTACCTGAAACCAAAGAAAAGACTCTAGTGTGTAGCCAAAGGCATGCCTCCAGGGGTGAGAAGGAGCAGATGTCTTAACAGGGCAGGAGACCAGCTGTGCGTGGTCAGGTGGGACCATGGGAAATATTTAATTCTCTGTGCTGATGACCTACACAGAAAACTCACGAAGTACACTGCCCCAACTTAAGGAGCTTGTGTCAGAATTTTTCAAAGACTATATGGCAGGCACACCAGCCATGCAACTCACATAAACAAATGGTTCTATTTCAAAACTATTATAAACTTTGGTGATGAGCAGTTTGGGAATCCATCTGCTGAATTTCTCCCAGAGAGTCACAAGTAACTCTAAGACGGGAGCCACTTTTAAGGTGTGAGATGCGTCTTAGGTATTGGGCTTCCCTTGGGATTCTGTCTGCAGCCCGGTCTAGATCAGGCCATCTGGAACTGAAATTCTTCAGAGACATAAGAACAGGGAGGAGTTATGATTGTGAAGGAGGATGCAGAGTGCACTGTGGCCTTTGCTCAAGCTTTAAAGGCTGATGAGGACACTGGCAGAGTGATATTTTGAACGTATGAGCCGACTTGCCCCTCTGTACCCCTCTGGCGGCTCCTGTTGCCTTGACCTTTCCCATCAACCTCGTTTGGGCATCTTTATTGTATCAGGGAAAAAAGGAGATTCACCAAAGAACTGGGGGGAAAAAAGCTTTTGATTTTCCAAAGTCAAGACTCTAATGGCACTTGGCCTAGAAATGACAAGATAATTTGGACCGCAGCGTCTTGCTTCAGAGAGAACATGCAGTTTTGCAGGTGTGCTGGGAGGAGGTGAGGAGAGGACTATATCGAGCTCTTAGATGTTGGTGGGAGGTGAGGAGGAGGGAAGTGGGTGGGAGGGGAGATGGGAGCAGAAGCTGCTGGCCCCCCTCTCTTCTGAGAAAGAGGCTTTGGCCCTGTTCCTCAGAGGGAAAGGTGGAAAGTGCAGAAGCCCGGCCTCGAGGAGTGGAGGGCACGCGGCACACGGCTGTTATACGGAGTCCTCTGTGCTCAAAAGTGCCCCCAGAGTATAACAAAGGACTCACAGCCTTCTATTGGCATCGAAACTGGGGACATTCTTGGAGGCACTGAGCCCTTGACTTGTGGGATCTGACTCTACCTCCAGGAGATAGTGTCAGAATTGAATCCACTGTAGGACACCCAGGTGGTATCAGAGGACTGGCTGGTGTCAGGGAAAAAAACCCATGTGTTTGGGGTTGAAAGTGTTGTGAGTAAAAATAGTTCAGACCTTTTGACATCTTCCCTGTTTTCCAAGGCACGATTCACATTTTACCTGTTAGCAGGCATCTTCCCAGACCTCTCAGTTATTATTTTATCTATCTTTGTGTTCTTATAGCACTTCACCTATTCATTACCCCTCTTTATCAAAGTCAGCCTTGTACTGTGGGTTAAGTGAGGGTCAGCTGCTGGTTATGAACCCCAGAATTGTTCTGTCTTCTGTCCTAATAGCACCTCCCATGAATTCAGCATCCTAGACTGGCAGGTATTTTGGTGCCTGGTAAAGAGTAAAGCCTCAATACATATTTGTTAACCTAAATGGAATTTAAGATTCTAGAACAAATAGTGAAACATGAGACAGATCCTTGAAGGAAGATTTCATTGGTTTTATCTTTGATTCCCTTACTGTCTTCGTCCCCAACACTTGATTTCAGATTTTTTTTCCCAACATACAAAACATTTTAAAGAATCATTTGGAGTATACCCATTGAACACCACCTATTTTCTATAATATATGTTCCATTATATGTACGTATCTATATTTGTTTACATAGTATTACTTTTTTATCTATCCATCTAGCCATCCTTCCTTCCCTCTATCAATCTAAATTATGTTTTCCTCACCACCTTGCACATATAACCAATGTGTGAGAGACCTTCAACTCTGGAATCAGATCTGAGATTCACTCCTGGATTTGGCCCTGACTCATTGCTTGGCCCTGTGGGTGATGCTCACCCTGCATCTTCTTCCCCCTGGGTCATCAACAAGGGGCCACTGCAGCCTGTTTCACAGGTTGTGGTGAGGAGTAAATGAGACGATGTAGATAAAGGGCCAGGCACAGAGCATGTGTTCAGTACATAGAAGTAAGAGAAAAAGTACAGCGTCAATATTTATTTCAGCCATCAGCACTGACTTGCAATGATTTGTATCTCTGTGTTCTTGCTTGTAGCCTCTGATTTGGGCCCAAAAGGAAAAGAAAATCAGAGGAGACAGTGACTCTCAAACTCTTCCTTATTAATGAGCAAGAGTTCCCTGGATCCAACAGGTAAGTGAGAGGCGATCTGCGTTTTAGTGTGGAAACTGCATTCTGAGTTCTTTGGGCCAAAAAGGCCATGGAGTCAACTGCAGAATCACTGCTTACCTACTTTTATCCACACAAGATGGGATCTTCACACTCACCTAAATTCAGTAGGACCTTTGCTAAAAATGGAGATGATTGGGAGAGAATGTCTCCCAGTGGGACTCCCCTGAAGGCCTGAAAACCATTTCCTGAGCCCTTTGGTGCAGGGATGTGTGTATTTCCTGAATGTAGGCCCACATGAGTTCAGTCTTCCACTCTCGGGTGACAGACTGTCCTCAAATCAGGGAACCAGAATTATGCCCAGATCATCTTGCTCCTGAAATGGCCCTGGAAAGCTGTCGCTAAAGAGTGGAGGACATGATCTCCTTCCCTGTGGCATCAGTCAGCGCTGGAGATTGTTGCAAGATTGGAAAAAGGAAATCTCATCCTCTGTTTCCAGCATGTGCTCCCACCATACACATCCCCAGTCATCACAAAGCCCTTCATACCCCTTAGTTTAAACATGTTGAATATAGGCTGGTACGAATATTATGGTTCACATGAATAAAACTGGCCTGCCCATATGAATTGGTTTTTACTGAACACTTAAAGTGGGGGCTCTTGGTTTCAAATTTGTGTTGGTGTTTGTTGAAAGAATTATCCTTATATGAATGAGAAAGTGAAAATGCCTGATGTCCTCTTCAGAATTTCCAACCTAGATGATGTACCACATTACTCTGGAGCTATGTCAAAAATACAAGTGTCTCCTTCCCCTCCCCCCAGCCCCAGATTCCACTCCTAACCCCAAGAATCTGAGTCAGTAGTAGGTCTTGGGATAGCCCACTGGAATCTACATTTTAAAAATCTCTACAAAGTATTTTACTTTACAGCAAGACCTAAGAGCGATGTCTTTACTGTAAAGCTTTATAGTGCTGCTCAATAAAAACAGGGAGAGATGAAGTGTGTCTTCTTTTGAGATGCAAAATCTTACCTGACCCTTTCATTTTTGCTTTGTGTTCTATCAGTTGATGGGCATATAATGGAAAACTAACTAAAATGAGAAGATGGGGAATACTTCCAAAGTAGATGAAGTTGGGCATAAAATAGAAATAAGGACAACCCAGGAGAGTACATGACGAGACTCTCAGCTACAGAAGCAAGAGCTGGCAGAGGTTACCATGGCCAATAAGGAAAGCAGGCAGGGGATTAGTAGGCAAAGGGCATAACCTAGGACCAAAAAGTAGACAGGGAGGTGGAATTACTGTGTGTTATCCCAAGCCTCCATATGTCACATGTTAACATCCCAGGCATCTGTTGGCTGGGTTCCAGCTGGGATGGAGCTGTCATTGTCTACGCAGAGCAAATTTTGTTGTTATTCTTGGTGGCGTAACTAGAAAGCACTTCCTCATTGTTTCAGTCAGCAGATAACTTAAGGACTATTTGAACAAAGAATAAAATCCTAGTTGTTTTAAAACTTACTCTTGTCATTTGCTGGTTAGGTCAAAAAAGCAAGAACGTCAAAACCTTCAGATCAAGTGTCAGTTGCTTAGGAGAAAATTCCAGAGATAATAGTGGAATGCTTTTAAAAGAAATACTGCATTCTCAATGTTCTTGATGACAAAGATACTAATATCACGTGAAGATGGGAACAAATATGACAATTTTGAGTTGGCCCAGCAAAGTGGGAATTTAAATGTGAAAAAGTTTGAGGTATAGTTAATTAGTAGCATTTTTTTCTCTCTTTAATGCTGTATAATAGTGATGCATCTTATAATCAGTGGTGTCTTTTCATCAGTTCAGTTCAGTTCAGTCGCTCAGTCATGTCCGACTCTTTGCGACCCCGTGAACTGCAGCACGCCAGGCCTCCCTGTCTGTCACCAACTGCCGGAGTTTACCCAAACTCATGTCCATTGAGTCTTATTTTATTCAAGTATAGTTGATTTACAGCTTTGTATTATTTTCTGCTGTACAGTAAAGTTACTTATTCATTATGGCTATCATGTAATATTGAATATAGTTCCCTGTGCTATGCAGTAGATCCTTGTGTTTATCCATCCCATATATAATAGTTTGCATCTGCTGATCTCAAACTCCCTATTCATCCTTTCCTCACTCACCCCTACCTTTGTAACCACAAATCTCTTCTCCATGTTTGCGAGTCTGTTTTATAGATAAGTTTGTGTCCTATTTTAAATGCTACATGTAAGTAATATCACATGGCATTTATCTTTCTAACTTACTTCACTTAGCATCATATCTCTAGGTTCATCCATGTTGCTGCAAATGCCATTATTTAAATGGCATTATTTTTAAGGGACTTCCCATGGGGCTCAGTGGTAAAAGAATCCATCTGCCAATGCCAGAGACGCAGGAAACATGGGTTTGATCCCTGGGTCAGGAAGATCCCCTGGAGCAGGAAATGGCAACTCACTCCAGTATTCTTGCCTGGAAATCCCATGGACAGAGGAACCTGGGGAGCCCCAGTCCATAGGGTTGCAAAGAGTCAGACATGAGTGAGCATGCATGCATGCATTATTTTTTATGGCTAAATAGTATTCTGTTGTATATATGTACCACATCTTCTTTATCCATTCATCTCTTGATGCACATTTGTTTCCAAGTCTTTGCTGTTGTAAATAATGCTGCTATGGACATAGGCATGTATGTATCTTTTTGAATTATATTAAATAGTTTTGTCTAGATATATACCCAGGAGTGGGATTTTTAGATCATAGAGCAACTCTGTTTTCAGTTTTTTGAGGAATCTCCATACTGTTCTCCATAGTGGCTGCTCCAATTTATATCCTCACCAACAGTGTAGAAGGGTTACCTTTTCTATATGCCCTGTCCAGCATTTATTATTTATAGATTTTTTTTATGATGACCATTCTGACTGGTGTGAGGTGATACCTCATTGTAGTTTTGATTTGCATTTCTCTATCAATGATGTTGATCATCTTTTTATGTGCGTGTTGATCATCTCTATGTCTTCTTTGGAGAAATGTATGATTAGGTCTTCAGCCCATTTTTTTTTTTTTTGATTGGATTGTTTTTTTGTCTGTTATTGAGTTGTGTGAGCTATTTGTGTATTTTCAAAATTAAACCACGTTGATTGCATCATTTTCAAATATTTTCTCCCAGACTGTAGGTTTTCTTTTCTTTTTATTTATGCTTTCCTTTGCTGTTCAAAGGCTTGTGAGTTTGATTAATACCCATTTGTTTATTTTTGCTTTTGTTTCTATTGCCTTGAGATTGACATAAGAAAACATTGGTATGATTTTTGTCAGAATGTCTTGCCTGTATTCTCTTCTAGGAGTTTTCCTGTGTCATGTCTTATGTTTAAGTCTTTAAGCCAATTTGAGTTTATTTTTGTGTATGATGTGAGGTGTGTTGTAACTTCATTGATTATATGTTGCCATCCAACTTCCCCAACACCACTTGTTGAAGCGATTGTCTTTTTTCCGTTGTATATTCTTACCTCCTTTGTTAAAGATTAATTGGTCATAGGTGTGTGGGCTTATTTCTGGCCTCTCTGTTCTGTTTTGTTGATTCATATGTCTGTTTTTGTGTCAATATCATGCTGTTTTGATTGCTGTAGCTTTGTAGTATTATCTGAAGTCTAAGAGAGTTAGGCTTCCTCTTTCTTTTTTTCCCCTCAGGAGTGGCAATTTGGGGGTCTTTTATGATTATATTTTATACATTTATATACATTTTAGGATTACATTATATATAAAATATACATTATATATATTATATATATTATGTACATATATATTATATACATATATACATATATATACACACATACATATATATGTAATATACATTTTAGGATTACTTGTTGTAGTTCTGTGAAAAATGTCATGGGTAATTTGATAGGGATCACATTAAATCTGTACATTGCCTTGGGTAGTATAGCCATTTTAACAATGTGAAATCTTCCAAGAGCATGGGATATCTTTCTGTTTCTTTGCATCATCTTCTTGTTCCTTTATTAATGTTCTATAGTTCTCAGCATATAAATCTTTCACCTCCTTTTCAGGTTTTCCTAAATATTTTATTTTTTGATATGTAATTTTAAAAGGTATCGGGTTTTTCACATTTCCTTTCTGATATTTCATTGTTACTGTAAAGAAATGCAACCAATTTCTGTATGTTAATCTTGTATCCTACTACTTGCTGAATTCATTTATCAGCTCTAGTAGTTTTTGTGTGGAGTCTTTAGGTTTTTCTGTGTATAGTACCATGTCATCTGCATATAATGACAATTTTACCTCTTCCCTTCCAATTTGGATACTTTTTTTTGATTGCTATTGCTAGGACTTCCAATACCATATTGTATAGACTTGGTATTCTTGTCTTGTTCCAGACGGTTTCAGCTTTTTACTGTTTAGTGTTATATTGGCTGTGGGTTTGTCATAAATAGCTTTTATTATGTTGAGGTATGTTCCCTGTAAATCCTCAGTGATATCTTAGATTCAGTGTAATGTGGTGTTTGTGTTGGTCTTTACAGAGAAGAATATTTAAGAAAATTCTGTAAATAATATCCTGAAAAAAGCATATATAAAATTATAGAGAGGAGTCCAGGGAATCACAGACCTTGTATGTCTAATTTCCTTAAAAGAATCTCTCTCTGAAAAAAGAGAGAAAGCCTCCATATATTTAAACAATAGCCATATTTTAAAAGAAAAGAAGCTGGATTTCATTAAAAAGGAATGATCCCTACTTCATTGGAATTTGTCTGGAGAACTAAGTAGGCCCATGAACAGAACTGATGGATGGACCCAGGTAGGCTTCCAAAATGTTTTTGTAATAGGGCAGTTGTTCATTGCCTCCTCTTGGGTTCAAGTACTCCTGAGAAGCAATCATTTTCTCTATAGTTGATGCCTCACAGTAGAATCCTTCAAGACCATAATCCACAAGTCCCACACCTCTTTCATTTGCTGCCCCTTTGAATATCTCAAAGTAGCTTATATATAAACTTC